TTGCGACTTTGCTCCAGCTTTTAATGCATCATAGGCAAAACAGCCATGATGCCTTCTAGTTAGAAGGGGGTAACCCCCGGGTTACCCCCTTCTAACTAGAGGGCTTTTGTGGGAGTTTTAGGTGGACAGGCATATTCTCACCATAGATGTCAAGGCGCTTGCAAACCCAACCCTGTTGCAGGAGCTGGACTTTGTGAAGCAAAGGACGGCCCTCCTGAAGCAAATCAGACGCTTCCAGAAGCTACAGCGGACCTACATGCCCGAGTGCACGCGATTCCTGACTGCAGCACAGCGAGAGATCTGGAACGAGAAGGACCGCGTTCCCGAGGCTATCAAGCTCTTCCTCCCCTCGGAGTTTTCGTCGGGGAGCCACGCGCAGGTGTACAAGAAGGGGTTGGATGCGATTGAGGAAGAGATGCAGGAAGCAGAGTTGCAGGAGTCGCTGAGGAACTGTGTCAGGCGCTACACACCCGAACGGTGGCCAACTGTTTTAGGCATCATAACACAACCGGCCAGCGGGCGTTGACGTGCGGACAGGGGCTGCTGCGACAGGTTGCCATCTGGATTCTCAAGACAAAGCTACGGTATTGATACGCCGAGAATGCGTATATGAGGCTGAAGGGGCACAGACCGTGGGAGAAGGTCTACCATGTGTTGAATGAGGAAGATGTGAGGGGGATCAACAAGCAAGTAGTGAGCAAGGAGGAGGCAGAGAGGGAGCGGCTGCGGGAGCTCAGCGAGATCGTGGAGGGGGAATTGCACGGGCTGGGGTGGTCGCTGCAGGGGAGGGAACACATACCTTGTCGTGGATATGGTATAGCGCGAAACTTTCGGACGATGGCAACCTCGACCTAGTGGAGGGTACGTGGTAATTTTAGTTTTGGATTCGGGTATAACTGACGAGATGACATATAATTCAGTGTTGCGAGTTGAATGGGGGCAAGGCATATGCCAGGACCCGGTGTTCTCACGAGGATATTATGCTGGTGGAGGAGGAAATGCGCCGCACAATTGAGTACGGCGGGTGGATGGCTGGTGAGTGGGAGATTCGGGGTGACAGCCCGAATGGAGGGGCTGAATCCAGTGTTAACGGAGGGGTCACGTGTTGTACGCCGCAGAGCACGTAGATCACGAGAAGCGAACGTGCAATGAGTTGACGAAGCAGTGGGCTGGATTGCATGGGAAGGCGCAAGCGTATCTGGTGGGAATTACAACCGATGCGCGGACGGAGGTGATCGTGGACACAGAGGGAGGGGATCCAGACGACCCTGAGGGCGATATGCAGGGGGACGAGCTCGTAGATGACACAGGGGGCCGGGGACGACAATCAGGAGGACAACACCTGATGCGCGAAGGGCAGGGTGGCCGGGCGTGCACACTTGCTGGGTTGACACTTGTTGGATTGTCGAAATGTTTGGGAGGTGGGGTGATCGCCGTCAGACGGTTTGACGGCCGAGTTGGTTATAGTACTGGATGGGTTTACTGGGTTGTAGGAACCGTCTTTAGGACGAGCAATCAAATTTGAGGCCCGAAAGGGAACTTGCATCAATATCAATCAAATTTGGGGCCCGGAAGGGAACTTGCATCAATATCATTCCCTATGGGGAAGAATAACTGTTGTTATATAAGCTGGAAAGGTCTGAGTAGCAAGTTAGTGGACAATTGCTAAGTTAGCGCTGATTTGACAGTAGCATTGCAATGTGCCTATTGCTTGCTGGCCAGCTACAACTGGGAACATTGCAACACGGTTCCCACATATAACTGTGTACATTGCAATATCAGCACAACTTTTGGTGTGTTACCCCTGCCTCCGCCCTCAAACGTCACCGGACCATCCTCATCGCGGGGACCCTACCAACCTTACTCCCCCGCGTGGACCTCGTAACCTGAAAAAGGTGCATGGAACTCTCGCCGGCCTCTTGGCTACACGTCCAGATCCTAGCACTATCCCTCCGTGCTTCGCGGTCCTTCTCAATCGCGAGACGCTGCAGCAGGACGGACGTCAATCCAGTCGTCGCTGGATGGTGACGGAAGAGGGCGAGGAAGGTTCCTCGAGCACAGCGCAAGAAGGGATGGGAGGCAAGAGGGTGTGATGAGAGAAGAGGTCGGGACGTCTGCAACGGGAGCTCAAAGCGATGCAAGCGGAGCTAGGAACCCCGGCGGAGGAATCCTCTGAGGTGGAAATGCCAGATGTCAAAGCAGAAGAGTCGCCCTTGTTTGCGCTTAACGTAGCTGCATCAAGTGGGATTCTGCACTTAGTCGGTCGAGGAGAGACTCCAGAAGACCAGGAGCTCCCTGATGCAGTGCAGGATAACGACGACGACAAGATGGCTGACGCCCCGCAACGCTGGGACCGCTGAAGACGACGACGACATCGGCATGGGACCCCACTAGACACGAAGCGCTGTGCGGAAGCTGAAACGATAGGGCTAGATTCTTGCCTCCACATCAGAGTGTAAAGAGATTGGAGAGTGCTGTGCTGTAGAATCGGTAGCAGGCGCAGTGCACACTATCAGCGTGGGGGGCTCTGTGACGGGGTACGAACGGGCTGCTAGACGACACGCGCGTGGACAGACTGTACATACATTCACAATAACTTAGTGTACATAGTAGAATGAGAGTAGTTGATCTGGGATCAGTACTTACATAATACATATTTTACTTGCATACAACTACCATGATGTGAGTTGACGATTCTACTTGGAGGGAACCCCCTGCCCCAGACCCGCTGGATGCCTGAGCACGCGTTATAACTGCTCCACGGTCTCGGTGCGGCAGAGTCCCCATCCAAGGGTGACATGGGCCCTAGATGAAGGGTTACAACATGGGGAGGGCCCGAGTTGGCGCCTCCTGTCACCTATAGCAGCGCCAGACTCGATGTCCGTGCGCACTTCCCTCCAGCCTGGCGAGGCCTACGGAACCCACATCACACTAGCACATAGTTATTACCTTTTAGACTCCTGACTTGCCGTTTGCACCATCTGCTAGCGCTCTCATAGTACCTCTTTCCTGTAGCTCACTTCCTAGGTGCTATCACCTTGACTGTTTAGGCTTATAGTTATTTCCCCATGGTTTGTGCCTCCAGAACTTGCTAGTGTGTCATCCTAGAAGTGTCTGGTGCTACAACCAGCAGCTTGGGCTCACTCCAGTTCTCCTTTATATCACCTAGCAAGAGTCCTGAGTGCTAGCAGTAGCACATCAGAAGCGCTAGCGCTTTCCCATTGTATAAATACTGGTCTTAGGAAATCACAAAAATAGTACTAGATGCCATATGCTCTTGTTACAGTGCCTCAATAGAACCAGACAGAATGATGGAGGTTAACAAAGATGACAGAAGTTAACAGAGTCAGGGGAAACTAGATCTGGAAGAGAGGTTGAGATGTTAACACGGAAGAAATGTTTAAACAGTGAAAATGTTAATAGTCAAACTGAAGTACAGGAGTGTATCTACAGTGTTTTATAGAAGTAAGCTAATTGTTATTATGGAAGGAGAAAGAAGGTATAACAATAAGTAAGAAGACATTCCCAATACCTTCAGATATGGGTTCTTATATAACACCCCATCAACCCAATTTTGGCTGAGCATCACAAAACTGTCGAAATTTATAAGCCCTTTCACATCACCCTACTTTTTTGCCCCAAAGTTTTCTTGCTGAACATTGCCAATGGTGAAACATGTTTGTGGGGTTAACATGGCAATGGCGGTGATTCGCTCTCTTTCTCTCCTCCATCCTTCTCCAGCTCAATGTCTACATCTGCTATGCCTGCTGCTGCAAAGTTCCAAAACCTGGCCATCTCCATAGCATTCAATATAAATGCTCCAAACTCGAGGCTGTCACTTGACTGGGTTCTTCAAACTGGTGTATCAGCTTCTTGCTTGGTATCATCTGGCATCCTCACTGTTCCCTGCAACAAATCTGCCTTCTCCATTTAAATGGAGCTTTCTGTGGCCTCATCTCTACCCTTCAATGTTGTCCTTGGTAGGGACTGGCATGGGTTGGGGATGACCTGGCTGGGTCTGAGCCGGGTCAGGGTCAGGGTCTTAAAAGTTTAACCTGGCAACCCGGGCTTGACCCATTGTTGTTGGCATTGACACTTGTTGATCACTGCATGTGTGGATGGTTATGTATGAGAATGAGTACATGTTACAATGAGCAGTATCATAGTCTACAATTGTAATATGTCTCAGGCTTGACCCATAACCTTATTGCCGCAAAACCCGCGGGCAACCCGCTGACCCCCCGGATTTGACCCCAACCCTGACCCGACTTAAGGGTCTGTGTGAGAGTGGGGTTGGGGTCCGGGTCAGTGATTTCTGACCTGGGGTTGACCCGAGCCAATCCCCAGTCCTTGGTCGGGACTGGCTTCAGTATTGTCAGGAATCTGTACCCAGTGCTTCCTGCCACCTATCTTCCTGCCACCCGGACCTTCAAGCTCAAAGAGGTATATTTTCACATCTACAGCTACCTTCTGCTTATTTATGTCAGTTCCTGCTTGTCCTGCTGATGACACAGTGTTGTCCAGCAGTGTGTTGGTTGTGTTCCCACAATTCTATCTGTCAACTCTTTTAACCTGTCATCTCCGTCTAGTTCTGTCCCCTAGCATTCTGTCCTCCAGCCTTGGACATCCTTCCACCAGAATCTTCTCCCATCATCCTATTTGCTCCTCCTTCCTTTACTTCTTCCCAACACAGATATAACAATTCCACAGCACCTCTCAGACTATATATTTCATCTATTTGCATGCCTTGTAGCTGTCTTGTATTCCCCGTTTGGTGCCCACTCACCACACCTCAAATATATCTTGTTGCTGCTACTTGCATGATCTGCTGCTGCTTACAATAACAAATGTGTATATGTCACAGGATTTATCCTATGTTGGTGGGCTCTGCTGTGCCAGCACAGACCTGTGCCATACTTGTCACTTTCCCAAAAGAAAACAACAGACGAAGGCATCTTGCGTGATTGTATGAGGTAGTGAACACTTGCATACAAAAAGGATTCCGAATCGGGGAATCGAACCCCGGGCTGCCGCGATAAATCACATGAACAGATAAATCACGTGAATGAGAGGCGGCAATGTTAACCCCTACACCAATTCGGAGATATAGATCTTCATGAGCGAGTAGATAGGTAGTCCCTTTTTGGAAATTTTATATCCAGCATCTGTGCCGCATTCGGCATCACAGCATTTGATTCCGCACTCCTTCATATGTAAAAGTGAGTTCCAGCTAACTGCAAAACCCTAGCCCTTTCCAAATTCTTCAGGCCCCACTTGACATTGCTTGGCCTCAGCCTGCGCTGGGAAGTGGAGATGGACTACTGTAAAAGGCAATTGATTGGGCTTGGGAGAAATTTTCGAAAGGGCTCTATTAGGGTTTTGCAGTTAGCTGTCAGCAGAAGAGAATCCTGGGCCACTTGCAGCCAGTAGCCCTAACCTCTACACTAATTGGAGGTGAATGAATACTTGAAGCTCATTGTTTCATCAATATGAATGCAAAGAACCTGGGTTTTGTTTAAGATTCGAATCCGTAGCGGGTTTCTGCAGAAGATTAAATTTGTTGACCTAACGGGTAATCTCGCTCAAGGCAGCAGCGACAGGAGCGGCGTTGGCGAACCTAACGAGACGCGTCACTCGACAGGTCGAATCCGATTATGTATAAAGACATGTTTGGCGCAGCGTCGGTTCCATGTGTTCAGCAGGAGCTTGAAACCAAGGTTTCTCGCACAAGATATTTTAATTGAAACACGGTAAGTAGCGCGCTACATCAGTCGGCTTGACCATAGCAGTTCGGATTTTGAAGCTTGGTCGATTAGAGAGACATCTGGATATCGCATCGGCGGATCAGCTTTGCTTAACAAACGATATGAAAAATAGACGAATCACCGCTGTTCGACTCGGCGACTTTGAGAATCCACACGGGGCGAGTTTGTCGAAAAGAGCAAGCAGACACTAGGGAAGTCAATGAACAGAGGAGCTACTAGGCCATCCTCTTAGTCGGGCCGTTTGAAGGTGGGCGTTCAGGGATGGACGAATTTTCGGCGGCAACAGGAAGCTGGCACGCCGTTGATGAGCTATATACGACGTCGATGGATGCCAGCCCATCAGCTTTCCGTTCTTGACCCACCTACACCGCACGGTTCCAATCCGCGGGAGCAGAAAGAGAACGGGGGTGGAGATGGGCCTGGGGTTTCACCGAGATCCGACGAGGGTTCTCTCCAGGTGTTTTTTGGCATCATCTGGGCGGGCAACGGGAAAGGGGAGAAGGAAAAAGAGGCTTGCCATGTTGTACAGCGATTGCGCGAGCTCAGATAAATATACATTATGGTAGTAGAAGACAGGCACGGTGTTTGGATTGCGCAAACACGTCGGAGTTTCAAGTGCCATTTCTCTCTTCTCGCCATGGCGCTCAGTTTCATCGGGTACGCCTCTGCTGGCCCTTTTGTCGCGCGCTGACGGTTCCCAGAAAACCAATTTCTCTCATTTCTCACTCAGATGTTCGCTACAGAGGCATTCTCGCTGGAATCGATCCTGCAGCGTCCACAATTCAGCTTTCAAATGGTCCGCCGTTTCTCTACCTTTCCTTGTTCGCCTGCTCACCGACGCGCAGTATTCTCTATGGGCACCGAGTCTCGTCGGTCAGTGCCCTGCACTGAGCGTCTGTCTTTCTCTCTTTGTTGACCCACGCGCAGCCCTGTCGCCGAGTATATCCCTCCGGTGCAAGAACCGTACCAATATATCATCTTTCGCGCGTCAGAGGTGAAGGACCTGTCTGTCGACGAGCCCGCCCCAACCCGCCGCAGCGTGCACGACGACCCTGCCGTTTTTCAGGCGTCATCACAGCCTCCAGCACCCACCGCGCCCGTCCCGCAGTCCTATGCTCAGACCGCACAACAGCAGCTCCCGCCCCGCCAACAGCAGCAGCAGCCACCGCAGGTCCAGCAGCAGCAACAGCAACAACAGCCGCAGCAGCCGCGTGTCCAGCCCCCGCGTCACCGCCCCAACGCGCCGCCGGGCCCAGGCGGCCCCCAGGCGCAGCAGCAGCAGCACCAGAACGCGATCCACACCGCCGCCGCGTCCCTCGAGACCGTCGAGCGCGCCCTCGGCGACCTCCGCGTCTCCAACGCCGCCAACGCCGCCGCCCCCCGCCGCCAGCGCACCAAGCGCACCGGCGGGGACCCCAACGGCGGCAACCCCACCGGCGCGCCCGGCGTCGCGGTGCCCGCGGTGGACTTTGACTTTGCGACGATGAACGCCAAATTCGACAAGGCCGCGCTCGCGGCCGCGCGCAGCCCGCGCCCCCGCACCAACAGCGCGGGGAGCGACCACACGAACCCGAGCGACGAGGAGGAAGGTGCCGAGGGCAGCGGTGCCGCTGGGAAGGAAAAGGAAAAAGACGACGCGGGCGCGTATAACCCGAAAAAGTCCTTCTTCGACTCATTGTCGTCGCCGCCGCCGTTTGCGCCGCGAGGCCAGCAGGGGCAGGGTGGGCCGCGCGGGGGAGGCGGCGGAGGCGGCGGCGGCGGGAGGGGCCGCGGGCGGGGCGGGTTCGGGTATAATCGCCGCGAGGAGGAGAGGGAAAGGAATGTCGCGACATTTGGCGAGCCGGGCGGCGTGGGGCTGTTGGGGCCCGGCGCGTATGTTGGCGGGTGGGGTGGATATGGGGGTGGCGGACGGCGTGGAGGCGGGCGGAGGCGGGGGCCGCAGCAGGCTCCGCGCCCACAGCAGCAGCAGCAGCAGCAGGAGCAGTAGTGTGCGTTAACTTGTATCGATGCTGTATTGACCTCGGTGAAATCATACTTACGTGCTTGTCCGGTCTTTCGATGTCGCGTCTTCCTCCTAATCCACCTTTTGATACTCTGCAGTAATCTATTCGACGTCTCGTACAGTCAACTACGAGTACTCGGTATTTTTTACCCGCTCGCGATGCTCCCCGACAACCCGTATAACCTTCAGCATCCCCAGTATACGCCAGCTCATCAAAGTCCGCCAGCCCAACTCCGCCCTCCGTCCTGCCCTCATACTTCCTTACCTCCCACCCCTCCTCCATCTCCTCAAGTCCCTGCCCTCCACTCCTCAGCACCGGCGCCATGCCGCGCAACATCGGTGGGAGCTCAGCTTGGACGAACGACCACACCCCGCAGATGCCCTCGACCGCTGCGTCGCAATCGTTCACGGAAGCCGCCCGCAGCTCGTGCCGCCACTACGCCTCTTCCACCTCGTCCATACGCGGGCGGTGCGCATGAAACAGCGCAGCCCACACCGCGGTGTGGAAGAACCCCCACAGGTCGTCTAATGAGGCCTGCACATAGTCTTGCGAGAGGTCGATAGCTCGCCGTCACTTCCTGGACATGAGCTCGGTTGTGCCCGCCTGCCACCAGCCTCGCTCATACGCCGCCAGCCACCCTAAAGACAAATTAACAAAAATTACGGCTCTGTTGTCTATCGCACCTGTAGGATAGATTTGCAAAGATCCCATGCGCTCTCACACCGTTCGGTCGACTGTCGGGGCTGGCAGAGGGGTCTTTGGCTCGTGAGAGAGTCTGATCTTGGGTCAACCTTTCGTTCTCCTCGAGCTCAAGCGCAGACGAGACCGGGCGCCCGCTTCTGAAGCACACCTGAAACCAGGTGTGCGTGGTGGGAAGGCCGAAGGGCCGGAACACGCGGATGCCATCGTCATTTCGTTCAGCGGTCCGGGGCCAGAGGGGATGCGAATAACCCAGTTCGTCGGCGACGAAGGGTTGGTGGGGCTATTGGGTGTTGTGGAGGAGGGCGAGTCTGCATTTGAGAGGGCGACACTATCTTCGGGATCGAAGGCAGCTCCAAGGGCGCGGAACTCGGGGGGAACGCACGACGCGACCTCCTCGTCGTGACACTTGATCCATCGGATCCCTGTAGGTGATTTGTGAGAAAACTCGAGATGGAAGAAGGCAAACAGTCGGGGCGTACATACGTGGAAGTGAGGTGGCAGGAACTCGGAGCACCGGCGAGTCTGAACTTTCAGAGCCTCGAAGAAAGGTCAGACTGAAAGCGAGCGCAGACGAAACTTACCAGGACAACGGCGTAGAGAATTTCTGCAGCTCGGATGATAACGCACTCTCCGGGGGCTGCAGACCAGCAAATGGTGCTGTTGAGTCGCGGTGTCGGCCGACATGCCAAGCTGAGGCATTTGAGAACAAGCGTACCACGCTCTCAGCAGCTCCGAGTATGAGACAGTATGGCCACGCGATGAGCAATAACATCAAGAGCCTTGTTCCCGTACAGCGCAGCCATCGGTGCGAGCCGGTAATCCCGCGTCTTCGGCGTCCTGCCAGAACAAGATGGACCATAGCATGTTCAATACGTCTTTGCGGCCGCAGGCAGATCACAGGCCGCACGTCCGGCTTGCAGCGAGGCCGACGTTGCAAAAAATGAGCACACGAAACTCGCGAGCGGCCGGGTTATAGCCGAAGGCAAGCCTGAATGCGCGCTCGAGAGTGGCGCTACGGAGAGCACGGGCGTAGGTTGACGTCTTCCGCGTGATATCGGCTCAGCAGTTATGTACCCCCACCGGGATTTCAATTCGCGGATTTCCCGTATCCGAGGAGCCCCAACAGCAGGGGAAGGGTTTGGGGGTGGAGCTCCTCTTCGCGGAACGACGCCGGGTTGAGCGGAGCTGCTGAATCGATTCTGTCTGCAGTAGCCTTCTCGTTGCAGTGGTCCAGCACTTGGGATACCAGGGTTCCTCCCGGACCTTGAGTACGATTCGCGCACTTGCCGACCGTGGGGTGTTCCTGCGCAAGACGGTCGTAGGCTTTGTCGATGGCCCGCACACAGCCATTCAAAAAATCTCACAGCGGGTCCTAACTCAGTGACTCTGCCCCAGGGAGTGGCGGCGAGAACGAAGAAGGCGTCTGAATCTGGTCGAGAACAGTCGCCACCACCGCCTCGCCTCGTTGACAAGGCAAAAGCGGTGGTCAAGAAAGGATAAATAGGCTCTCTGTACCCACTGGCGAGTAAGCCTATAGTATGCAGTACGCTGGCTTGAGGCGCTTGGGGGAAAGCATCTTCCCGATAATGTCTTGGAAACTGCGAGATGTGGCTTTCAAGCTCGTCGGCCATGA